CGGGCACCCGCTTGCGGTCAATAGAGCGATTTGATGCGGCGATTTTCTTTTCTCTCGCCTTTTCCCTATTTCATGACGTAAAACTTGAAATGTTTGCGAAATTTGTTCATATCAGCATTATAGTTTACCTCGTTATCACATATGTTGTTCGTTAACCCCGCCGCGGGCGTTCCCATCTAAGGGGGGTGGAGTTCAAGCTTTTTTTTTGCATAATTGCAAGAAAAAAAACGAAACCAGCTTTATAAAGTCGTTGATTCTTACCCGCTGAGTCATGTTCCTATGCTCTCAGCTCCTACATAACATTGAATTTTATTTTATACTTTTTTATTCAAATATGTTTATTGCAGATTGCCAAAGCTGACATGACTCAAGTCGTTGCCTTAGCAGTGATTAGTCGACTACACGAATGGTGTATCCAGCTATTTTGGATTACGATATTTTGCGTGATGGGATGCTGCGGTGACGAGAAATCGCAGAAATCTATTCGACAACTACACGAACGACAACAACACCAACAGCAAACGTCTCGAAAACGTGCAAGTATTGCGGAAATTGAACAAAAGGTTTGTGTGACTTCCATAGCTATTGATTTCCGTCTTACATGGTTGTTTGCTTTGCGTTTGACGATAGTGGGGCTGGGAACTGGTTAAGAGTTACTTGTTAGCAATCCGAACACATGTGGTCGTTATCTCAATTTGCGACTACGTGCAAATCAAAAATGGTGCAAATTATCGTCAATCATTGGGAAGGGGACTGAATGAAATCGCAACGCAATTATTCATTGCTCAAAAGCGATGGGTAGACTACTAGTTATGTTCTAACAATAGAGTAGACCATTTTGAAATATGTCCTCTATCTGCTAACGCCCACGACCGCACCGCGTTGCATTAGTGCTCAGCCCTTTTCTGCGAAGTTAGGTCAAGGATCGTCGACTAACTAGATGTTATGAAAATTTACGGCATGTTAATATTATCTACTTTCAAGAAGGTAACTTCGCAGTACCGTGTGCGAAGCGGCTGCGTTGCAGTCATGCCTTAATATCGAATTCAAACGTGTTCAAACATGTTAGGTCTAACTCTTACTTGCGAAATCGCACCACTTCTGAGCGCGTAGTTGAGGCAGCACCTATCTAAAAATTGATAATAAACAACGCAAAGAAAATTGGAACCGCATGATTTTCTATTTGATTTTTCCTAAACTTCTTCTTTTAGCTTCTCCGCCACATCAC